GAAACCAGGCCTTGTTCGGAGGGGCTTCATCAGGAAAACGACACGCTTCGGACTGCAGTCCTTCGAAAACGTGTCTCTACGATTTCCACGTGAAGAACGGCGGGAAAATGGTGAACTTTGCGGGTTACTTGATGCCTCTGCAATACGGAAGCGTGGGGATTGCTGAATCCCATCGACACACCAGGGAACATTGTTCTCTGTTCGACGTGTCACACATGTTGCAGCAAGTGGTGACAGGGAAACATGCCGCGGATTTCTTGGAGTCGCTGACTGTCGGCGACTTGAAGGAGCTGCAGGTTAAAATTTTCGTAAAGCCCGTTTCTGACAGTAGCGACATCTATTAAACAAGAAATGAACTGATCTGCTAATGGGTCCACGCTCCGCAGTCAACACAAGAAATCGCCCGATTTCTCATCTTAACGAAATAGTTTCCCCATGACGACATTTTTCAGTAAAAAAATTCTTGAACATTACTCAGCTGGGAGATTGTATTTTCAAATTTTTCAAACATTTGAGGAAATTGAGAAAAGAACATTACTGTGTACAGTATTTTCCCCATTCCAGTTCGTCTCTGAAATTTTAGATTTCTGAGACAAATTAAGACGTTGAGACGATTCGCTTTAATTTCAGGACACACAGTTATGAATTGAAATTTGTCATTTGAAAATTTGTAAAAATACACGTTTTTTAAGGTTACTGCTGTGGCCTTTTTGGGGGTGCCTAATAATCCATATCATAAATGTAATCCATATCAGATGATATGGATTGCATACCTCGTATTTTACATTATACCACAAGGGGAATCACTTTTCACAAAACAAAAATTTTCCTCAACAAAATGCATCCATATATAGATGGATTAAATTGATTATAGAATATGGGGACTGGCAAGCCATAGTAAAAAAGAAGTTGGCTTGAATTTATACTCAGGTGATGCACGGGTGTTTTTTTTGCCATAGTTTGCCAAGATTTTCGTTTTTGAACAATTTTAGATTGATCAAAGGCCACCAAAAGGAATCTTGAGCAGAGTTTGAAAGTCTTGAAACTAATTGGAAGGGTTGAAATGAATTGTTGTTAAATACCTTCAAAATTAATCCTGTAAAAATTATGCAAAGAATTATGGGAAATTTGTATCCATTTTTTCTGTCCAGCAGAAAAATAATTGTGGCATTGAAAAACAATGCCCATTTGTATCAATTTGGGTTTATTAACTTCTGAGTTCTTGTAGTCCTTTACAAACAAATTCAAGGAAAATCTTGAAGCTGATGGCCAAGATTTGAGATGAAAAAAGTGAGAGCTAGCTGGAAAATGGCAGAAAATCATAAGGTGTCCTCATGAAATTGAATTAAGGATATTCATAGAATACGTCATTCTTTTTATCCAAAATGATCATTTTCAATTCTTTTTATACGTCCGTTGAGCTCAGAAATTTGAATTTGATTTTAAAAAAATGCTCTGGCGAACAAATATACTGAGATAAGGGTTCATCAGAGCCAATATATTTTACTGAATATCTTTTATAAATTTTACCAGGAGTATAAATTTCATCTAAACTAACCTTGTAAAATATGGTGAAATTTCAGTTTTGCTTTTCTTTTCATGTACAGTATGCAACTATAATAACTGAGCTCGGCAGGATGAAAACAAAAGCTTCTCGCTGTGTTGAATATTTTGAAAATACAAGCTTTCAGTTGAGTGAAGTAGGCGAGTTTTCCAATTGCAACTGACCACAGTAAACCATAAAAACTATTGGGTGAACCATGAAGAAATCCCCCATTTTAAAATATGATGAACTGTATCTTTTGCGCAATTTAATGAATTTACTTTCTTCATCGATCAATTTTTCCAGTCAATGTTGGTATGGAAACATTTCATGCCTCACTAGTTGAGGCAGGAGAACGATTGGGACGTTTGTAAGATGATAAACTCCATTTTCAAGTTTTTCTGAATTTTGAAAACACAATCTTGTTGACTATAATAGTAGAGAAACAAATTTCCAGCATGACTTAACGTATATTCTCTTTTTTATTTTTTAAATTGCCAACATAACATTGATGAAATCTCTCCAGTCTTGAAAAAACAAATGATTATGTTTTCTCAGATTGGCGAAGGAACTCTGTCACTGTTCACCAACTGCAGAGGCGGCATAATTGACGACCTCATCTGTAATCGCATC